TGAAATTCCTTTCTGACTCTTTCAAAATAGAGATGTTCCCAGAGCAGAAGGGATTACATTAACTGACATCAGTTCACTTAAATTTTTTTCTAGTTTGCATTTGAGATGACTTTTTCAGAGGTATAATGTGAAGGAAACATAGAACATACATTTACTTCACTTGTAGGAATATTCAAAAATTTCACATTTACAATGGTAGTTAGAAAATGCCTCAATATACTTATTAAACTCCCAAAACAGCAAAAACTTTTAATTTCATTCATATTAATATTTCTTAAAATATGAAAAGTACTGGATTTTTATGGATAAAATTCCTTAATGGTTAAAACCTCTCAACATATATATTTTATTTTCCCTCAAGAGTAAAGAGGAAAATCACTGTCTTGTGGAATTCCTTTTTTTACTAGACTATTTTGAACTGTCTAAAAAAGGGATTAATTTTTTTTAGACTATGGTTCTGTAATGTAAAAATTATAGCAAAATTTAATTTTCTTCTTGACTTCTAACTGGGGTAAGGGGACAAGTAGTGGTATAGGACAGTTAAGAAACCAGAATGTGTGTTTGGGGATGTTGAGGATTAATATATATGTACTCCTTTGCACAATTTTGTAGGTGACAACTAAAAATTTTTCACTACAATAGGATTTAATTTCAAAGGATTTAATTGTCATACTGAAAATAGTGGTCATTTCTGCAAAACTATTACTTTTTAAATGTATCCAGTGGAATCTAAATACCATAATGACTTGATGCCCACCATCACCCACTCAAAATAATGTATGAGTGAAGTATTTTTTCATACTTGGAAATCTTACATCACTCTTTTCCCTTGAACTTGCATTTTCATTCCATTCTTATCCTAGAATAGTGGTTCTCAACAGAAATGGAAAGGTGGAACCCCTGGGGAGATTATGCCAACCAGGGTACGTCTGGCAATGTCTGGAGACATTTTTGATTTTTACAATAAAAATTTGTCACTATCACATTTCAACTGTTCTACCCTTAGGATAAAGGATGCTACTGGTATCTAGTGGGTGCCAGAGATGCTGCTCAACACCCTACAAAGCTCAGGACATCCCCCAACAAGGAAGAATTACCTGATTCAAAATGTCAGTAGTATGAGCATGAGGCCTGTCCAAGAGCAATGTATTTCTATGCCTAAGTCTTTTATTTTTTTTACTTCTCTACAACAAAAAATTTATGTATGTTGGGGTGCAGAGATAGGTGAAGGGGATCAAGAAGTACAAACTGCCAGTTATAAAATAAACTAGTCCCAACAACTGGTGCTGGGAAAACTGGACAGCTACATGCAAGAGAATGAAACTGGATCACTGTCTAACTCCATACATAAAGTAAACTCAAAATGGATCGAAGACCTGAATCTAAGTAATGAAACCATAAAGCTCTTAGATGAAAACAGGCAGAAATCTCTTGAATATAAGCATGAGCAATTTTTTTCCTGGACACATCTCCTCGAACAAGGAAAACAAAATAAAAAATGAACAAGTGGGACTACATCAAACTAAAAACTTCTGTACAGCAAAGGACATCATCAGCAGAACAAAAAGGCACCCTCCAGTATGGGAGAATATATTCATAAATGATTCATTTGATAAGGGGTTAACACCTAAAATACATAAAGAACTCATCTGCCTCAACACCCAAAAAACATATAATCCAATTAAGAAATGGGTGGAGAACCTGAACAGACACTTCTCCAAAAAAGAAATACAGACAGCTAATAGGCACATGAAAAGATGCTTCGCATCACTTAATCATCAGGGAAATGAAAATTAAAGCCACGATGAAATACCACCTCACACCAGTGAGGATGGCCACTGTCCAAAAGACAAAAAATAACACATGCTGGCAAGGATGCAGAGAAATGGGAACCATCCTACACTGTTGTGGGAAAGTAAACTGATGCAACCGTTGTGGAAAGCAATATGGAGAGTCCTCAAAAAAACTAAAAATAGAATACCATTTGACCCAGGAATTCCACTCCTAGAATTTACCAGAAGAAAACAAGATACCTGATTCCAAAAGACATACGCATCCCTGTTTATCGCTGCACTATTTACAATAGCTGAAATACAGAAGCAACTTAAGTGTCCATCAATGATGAACAGATAAAGAAGAAGTGGTACATTCAGCCATAAAAAGAAATCCTCCCATTTGCAAAACATGGATAGATCTAGAGGGTATTATGCTCAGTGAAATAAGCCAGGCAGAGAAAGACAAATACCAAATGATTTTACTTATTTGTGGAGTATAGAAACAAAGTGAAACAATATAGCAGTAGACTCATAGACACCGAGAAGGGACTAGTGGTTATCAAGAGGGAGGGGTTAGGGAGGGTAGAGGGAGGAAGGGCATAAAGGGACACAATAATTTATAATTACAATATAAATTGGTCATGGGGACAGTAGACAGCACGGAGAAAACACTTAATGATTCTGTAACACCTTACTACGTCGATAAGATAATGACCGCACTAGAGGGGGGTGAGGATTTAGTAACATGGGTAACTGCTGAACCACTGTGTTGTACATTTGAAACAAACATAAGATCATATATCAACATACTTGAATTAAAAAACAAAACAAAAAACTAGTCATGGGGATTAAGGGTACAGCATGAGGAATATAGCCAGTAATTTTGTAATAGCTTGGTAACTACATTTAATAACTTGGTAACTAACTCAACTACACTTATTACACTTAATGTGATAAGTATTTTATAATGTATATAAACGTTGAATCACCATGTTGTACACCTGAAATTATGTCAACTAAAATAATTTAAATAGAAAATAGGAATAATATAAACTGGTAAAAATATAAATTTTCTGTAACATAAAGGTTTAAGTGTTAAAAATGTATTCTGGAATGAGTTACTACAATTATTATTAGTATATGTTAACCTAATAACATGATTAAATAACCATTTATTAGTATATGTTAACCTAAATAACATGATTAAATAACCATAGTTGAATCTTTGTAAAGAAATAAAATACTTTAATTCTCAATATTTCTAAAGTTTTAAATTACCAAGACAATTGCCAAGACAATTCAATAGGGAAGTCTTTTCAACAAATGATGCTGGGACAACTGGACATCACATGAAAAAAATACAGTTGGACCTCTATCTCTTACCATATACAAAAATTGACTCAAAATGGATCAAAGACCTGAATGTAAGAGGTAAAATTATAAAAAACACAGGAGTTTTGTTATTTTCCAATTATCTGTAGATAAACATTATTTATTGCTAGAATGAGGCTAAATTCAGCTCAGTGATAGTTCTATTTTCATTTTTATGAGTGGAGAAACCTTTACATTAATAGATAGATGGAAAAAGGAGTTCTGTTGGAATGTCAGTCTGTGATTTCTTTCTGTTACACAGTGATATACATACACAGTGTACTGTCAGTAATCACTTAGATTCTCTTTAAAAACTGTTAAAAAAGCAAAGAATTTGGAACTGATTTGCAAAGGATTTGTTCTGTAACCCCTTAAGAGCATTCACTTTCTCAGTATCTACAGCTTCTGGGTGATGTAGAGATTTTTTAACCCCTGCTTTACTACAATAGTCATATTAGGCCTTATTCTATGAAGAGTCTTTGAGAACTTCTTTTATTTTGATATAAGAACACAACTTCACTTATCAGGTAGGGTTTAGGGAGGCCTGCTAGGCATTTTGAAATGTAGCAAGTTATTCTGGAAAATCTCTATTAATTGTCACATAACCATGTCTGTTTATTAGTCCATCACAAAAATTCAGGCACAGTTGTCATCAAATACCTATGCCTAACAGCCTACGTCTTAGGAACCATATCACGTGTTCTATGAAAATTACATCAAGAAAGAAAATGGTTGAAATATGACTAAAATTCTCCCCAGTACTCCCTTACCTCTTAGATACTCTGTACTGTGCTGTGGTCAATTTTCCAGTCTCAGGGTCATGTACTGTAGCTCGGCTCAGCTACAAAAAAAAAAAAGAGAAAGGACAAGGACTTACTCACGTAGCAGGCAATTTGGGGCTTTTGTTTGTTTTGTTTTGCCAAGCCACAGGTGATTGGAAGGATTCAGATTGGTCTGGATGGTGGGTAATGGTTTCAAATCAGCAAAAACATTTAGAGAGGTGGCAATGAGAAAAGCCACTTCCAAATCAAGAGAAAATGGGTTGACACATTTTTGTTGAAGATTTATTGTCCTTTCACTTTTTTTAAAAAATCATTTGAAGCTGTATGTAAATGACTTATAGTACTGGGTTTCACAGGAACTTTCTCAGATCTAGAAGTTTGATGTCTTAAATATTCACAGAAGAATAAGTCTCTTTAAGTTCATTTTTAGAACTCTCAATGAGATAAAATTGTTAAGTGTCTCTGGCGAAGTAAAAGGCAACTAAGTTAAAAAGTATTAGCAGTTGGAATCAGTTGGGATCAGAAGCATAACTGTTCTTTCCATTGACAACTTTAAAGTCAGCACGTTTTTAAAAAGCAACTCCAACAGGAGGAATACAGATTACTCTCAAAATGACAATAGTATTTTACAAGATGTATGAGCAAATGCCAATATAATCACCATGAAGGTCGATGTGAATTCACTGTAGCATTTATGAATGTGAGAGAACTATATAAACAAAGACTATTCCCAGATTAATCCAGGCTGCATCTTTTTCTTCTTTTTTTCCCTTTGGCAAGTAAAAGGGAAAAGAAGACAAGCATCAAGCCATTTCCTGGATATCTGATTCCTGACCTGAACAGGATGCAAAGCATATCAATTCCCTAAAAATAACAGACCAATTAAAGATTAAAATCAGAACTTCTAGTTAAAGGGAAAGACCTGTGAAACACAAAGCAGTTTATACATGCATATATAATAGGCGGTGACTTGAGCTGGAGACTGAAAATGACTTCCCTTAAATGAGTAATTCCTGCAGGATGTATAAAACACTTATTAGAGGGCAAAATATGCAGCATACACATCTCTTACCTTTTGCTAATTCTGTAATGTACCGTCTCCAAGTCTCCTGTTACTGGATTTGAAATGGTGGCTCGCCTCAGCTGTGAAGCCAACCATCAAAATAATTGCATTACAAAACAAAAAAATGAATCACATTTATCCAACCAGTCAGAATTCTGGGATTTTTTACAAGGAAGCTGAAAAGAGAAAATAACTCCATAGACTTCCAGTCACCTTGTGTTGAGCCTTGAAAGCCAGTTGGCTTTTTAAGTTTTTGTATTAAAAAAATTATTTTTAATTTTTGTTTTTGTTTTGTATGAACGGAGGATACACAAACAAAAAAAATTGGAATCAAATTTGTGACACTGAGGAAAAGAGAAATTTCTAAAATTTGAAATCAATTTATAATTACAAGAATGACTATTTCCAGTTAATGATTCATCTATTTCAAACTTTTAAAATTTTTCTAGTAATGGAACTATGTGCAAGATTAATGTTCAAAATTTGTCATAAGGTCAATTTTCTCTTCAAGATAGCTGCTCATATATTTCACATATACAGTGAAATAATCTTGGACTGAGCACAAAGGCAGATGAAAAGAACTTATCAAGTTAAAAACAGCAAGAAAGAGACAACAGCCAAGATAATGATTTTAAACTAATTTTTTTAAATGGAGGATGATTCTGAGGTTAACCAAAGAATATGAACATTTTCACAGCCGCTGAATTTCTTGATCAAAATAATTCAACTGAGGCATTCCTTTGAAGACTGAAGACTCCAAATCCAGAAATAGAAGACTTGATCTCCAGGCTGAAATAAATTCTTAATAAATATTCTATCAAGACATTTTGCTTTATTGGACTTATTGGCCACAAATAATGGACTAAAGTAGGAATTCAAAAGAAAATGACAGAATATGATGTAATATAAGTAGCATTCTGCCTGAGAGGTTTAAAAGAATTCCCTTGGGCAGTACCCATACCTATTAGATCAGTATTTTCTATTTAAAATGTAATCTCTGATAAAAAACAAACAGTACCAATTTGGAAAAGTAGTAAAACTTAACAACAACAAAAATTCTGACTTTAAGTTTATTTTGCAGTGCAGATATCCTGATAATTTAATCTTTATGATATAACAAGGATCAGCAAACTATGGTCCATAGGCCAAATTTAGATTTTGGAATTAAAGTTTTATTAAAATATGGCCATACTCCATTTATGTATTTTCCATGGCTGATTTTGCACTACAATAGCAGGGCTAAGTAGCTGTGACAGACTCTATGACCTGCAAAAACTAAAAAATATTTACTTTTTGGATCTTTACAGAAAAAAATTCCAACTCCTGTGTAGTAAGAGAGCAAAAATATGCTTAGTGTTTATTTAATAATCTCTTTATGCAAGTGGTAGCAGTTTGTATTTTATTATCAATAAGATTAAATAGGTTTTTAAGAGCAAGTTGTTGGGAAAATAGGCAAGAGCCTAAGGGTGGTCATTCTCACATACTCACAAAAGAAGAATTTCTATGCTCTACACTAAGTTTATAGGACTGTTTACATTAAACTGTTTTTCTTAAGATCAATGATGTGGGTTGAGTCAGAAAACTATGATATCATTATTTCAAGTTATCATGATGGCTTCTGCCCAATTATATCTTTCTAGTAATAAAGTGCCTAAAAGAGAATAAAAAATACTTCAAACATTTTTTCAGATAAACAGAAGATATTTAAAAGTTGGTCTTTAGAAGATATTTAAAAGTTAGTCCCTTAGATCAAGGGCTCCAAACTATATACAGAACTTTTTCAGGAAGATGCTGAAACACAAATTTGTTAAGTGTGAATAAAAATCTCATCTATCATTTTCAACATTAAGTGATTAAAACCCAACTGTAGTGTGTTATTTGTGTTGATAGCAAACTGGGAAAAACTGGTATAAACAGAGCTTAGTTAACTCCATTATATTGTGACAATAGTATCTAAAACTATCTGTGGGGTTATTGCTGTATCAGTTGTCATATCTGTAGTCCTGCAAAAGAAAAACTGATACACAGGTACAGTAAGTTGAGGAGAGAAAAAAAAATTTACCCTTGGTTTTGCTAGATCTTTGACAATTTCAATTTCTGCATCAGAAATGATATCATGGAAGCGAATAATACGAGGCTTGTCCCATTCATCTTCCTGTTTGGCTGGAGCCAGAATAAATTTAGGATTCCGATTTCCATCATGGTAGCGGCAAAAGAGTTTTTTCTGTCTCCGAGGAGTCTAAACATAAAGTTAAGAAATGATTACAATATTAGAATAATAGAAATTTTAACATTTGTTTGTATACTCAAAAGAAAAGTACTCTGCAAATAATTTGCATCAAACAAGACCTTTAGGATTTTTAAAGTTTTATTAATGTCTGGAAGAGAGATGGCAGGCCTTAATTTAAGAGAAGAGGTAGGGTCTCTCTTTTAACCCTTCTCTCATCAAAATAAAACTCAGATGTTATTAATATGAATGAAATAATGAAGTGTTCATGGAAATATGAAATGAATGACCAGCATTCATAAAGTAATGGGAAGCATCCAGAAAGAGAAAATTCTAAAAGGAAAAAACAAAACAAAGCCTGCCCAGGTTTTCTTAATTACCTCCCAGTTAAATGCTTGTTGCAAAAAAAAAAAAAAGATTTTTTTAAAAAAGGAAAGATAAAAAATAAGTTACTAAACAAAAATGCTAGGTGCTTTTATCAGAAGGCATTCAAAATAGAGCAATCAACAAAACAAATAAATGTTCTTTTCAATAATCTATCAATTTTTTTAACTAAATAAGTTATTCCATTGCTGATTCTTCTCAGAATTAAATAAGTATGTCATATATAAAGTCAGAATATTAGTTTTTGTTTTAATTATTAGTTAACATACAAAACAAATAATGATTGTTTATTGTTCATGTACTTTATTAACCCAGAATCAAATGCAAGGCTTTGTTTATATCAAATAAGTGTTTTATATAATGGTGAGAGGATTTTAACTATTTTGAGAATAACAATGCTCCATATAAATTTTACCTTCCAGAATCGATGTGTATGTCACATCAACAAACTTAAAAATTAGCAGACTTCTGTTTATACCTGAGGTTTTATTTTGTTCTCTTCTTGAGTTATTAAGGCAATAAAAGATACCTGCTTACTATTGGAAATTTGAACACTAAGATGATATTACAGAACTACTGTTAGTTTTTTTAGGAGTGATAATGGTATTGTGGTTATTTTTAAGAATCCTTATTGTCAAAAGATACATACTAAAATATTTAGATGTGAAATTTAAAAAAGAAGTTTCATGAGTATAACAATGTTTCCATCCTTGTAGTTACTCATTAGCTCTCAAAGCAAAAGAAAGCATGATCTTCCAGGACTCCACGAACTTAGCCATCAAAAGTAACAACATCTGGTATTTGTCTTTCTCCACCTGGCTTATTTCACTGAGCATAGTACCCTCTAGATCCATCCATGTTGTTGCAAATGGCAGGATTTCTTTTTTATGGCTGAGTAATAGTCCATCGTTATATGTGCCACATCTTTATACACTCATCTACTGATGGACATTTAGGTAGCTTCCATATCTTGGCTATTGTAAAAGCAGCATAGACAAGATCTGCTTATTTGCTATTAGAAGTTAGGCTGTCAACAGTATGTCATCAAATATCAGAAAGTCATCAGTATCAAAACATAAAGCCCAACTTGAGTTTTAGTGAAGTTAAATGTTTACACTTAAAAGTGGTTATTTGAAAAATTCACTAACTTCTTCTAAGTATGCCCACATTGCGAATAATATAATTAACACATGATTTTCCTTAAAAAAGGGTTCCATGACCAAATAATGTTGGGAAACAATGTGTATCATCTCCATAATGTGTATCCCATAATATGCATTACCATTATCATCATCACTAGGCAGAACAAAAACCTATGTTCCCCAGACTTCAACTTTTTTGTTTTGGGCTTATTATCATCAACATCCTAAAGCACTGGTACTCTGAATTATAAATACATAAATATAGATACACAATAAAACAAAGGGATATTTATAGATATATCTTTGAGTATTTTAAAGAATAAATGTTAAAGCTAAAATCTGTTGAATCCTTCTACATTTTTAGTATTTCTTAAATAGACAAAAACATTTCACTAAGCAATCAGTCAAGGTCAACTAGGAGAAAAACTGCAAGAGATTATTGTATAGATGAATACACTGTTTCATAGCATGGGTTAGAATGGTGTATTATTTCTAGTTAAGACTGCTGAAATCTCTTTTGCACTAAGATGTAAGAAAAAACTTTATCACTTCCCTTAAATTGTCTGATCCTTCAACTTCAAAAAATAAGCCTCTTTTGATCAATGAAAAGGGTAGTATTACCAAAAATGCATGTAATATGATTCACAAGCTTTACTTTAAAGCTACTTTATTAACAGTTGGCACATATGAAGTTGATGCCCATAATAAGATGTGTGGCAAACTATAAGTTATACAATAATTCTGATGTTTATCACATAGGCTTAAGTATGAAAGAATCTGGCTCTCTCTAGAACTATGTACAAATACACACACACACAATTGGCTTTTCCACTTTACCATTTTGATACCCTCCCCACGGCACAGCATTTCGTACTTCTGTCTCTCCGGCAGGTAATCCACAGCAACCCCTTTTTTCTTTAGTGTGGTTTTCTGATCAGACTGGTCACCTGAAGCAGATTTATTGGCATCTTTTTCTTTAGCCATTATATATTCAAAATATTTTAAGTTACCATTAGCTCTCTGATGTTCAGGATCTATTAGAAGAGAAAGAATGCATGCCCATGAATAAGTTTATAGTTGTTCAAGTTTCAGAATACTGTATTATAGAAATCGAGACTCATATAATTTACCTTCCAGACCAGGATGGTTCTGAGTGGAAGTAAGCACTAATAAAAATTATTATACCAAAACAATAGGTATAATCCAGTACTGCCTCAAGTAAATCACATACTCTATATAGAAAGAGCTCTGGAGATGGAATCATCCACTTATTTCAAAGTAGCAATTATTTAAAATCTTCTTTGAAAACTTACTAATCAGCCAAAGAAATTCTGTAATTTTATGTCAAATGAATTTTCAAAGAGTACTCAGTCTACTTATTTTAAGCAATGGAAAAGATCTGAGACTGAAACATAATCACCATTGGGATGACAGGATATACAATTCAAAAGCAACCTTTATAAACATGGAACACAGCTTACTTCTGAGGGCTGAGTGGATTTCAGTCCCAAAATTCTAACTGAGACAGTAAAAAAGAGAAACTAAAGATATAATTTTCAAATAAGCTAGAATCCACTAACTGCCTCTGAATTGCTAGTCATAATTTTAGCTTTTAATAAGGGAAAAGAGAACTACTCCACCCACAGGGGAAAAGAAAAAAACCCAAACCAACATAAATAAAAAAGGCAAACCAGTGTGTAGAAACTTCACTTGTGATAATTGAAGTATTTATGAAATCTAGCCTTAAATTTATAAAAATTTGTCTTTGAGAAGCTAGTCACAATGTATGTTATGATATACAATCTGAGTGTAATTTTGTAAAAGAAAGGGAGAAGTGTGAGCAGAGAAGGGGGTGCATACTACAAGGAGACAAAAATATTTGTGGGTATCTTTGCATGATTAGCTTATGGATGACTCTTCTATATCTTTTTCTATTTTTAATAAATATTCTACAATGAGTATTTTTTAAGTCAGGAGGAAAAAAAAACCTCTAAAAAATACTGAAAACAAAGTACTTGAACCACTATCTCAATTTATTCACTCAATTAAGAAATAACATAATTATCAAAAGTTCATTTTCAGATGACCAATCCTTTTGAACTGTTTGACTCTTCTTACATATATTTACCTATTCATAAAAATAGGCTTTTTCAAATAAAAATAAATCATTTTAATATACATATTTTCACTTCCATTAATTCAACACTGATTTCTACTATGCATGCATCCCCATTTTTTATTTTCCAATATGCAGCAACAAAACAGGTAAGCTGAACTGTTTATTCTTAGAGTACCATGTACCTTGTCCTCAGAGTTTTATCAACTTCAAAATTTTCAAAGAATCCAGTGAGGCTGCTGAGTATGGTGGTCTTTCACTGAAATTTCCTATATGGAAGATGGCAAAGCAGACTAGGATCTTCCCAATTCTACTGGTTGCTTTATATTCTTATCACTGCTCAGCTGGGTTAGTAGCAGAGCCTGAATAGTAAGTAGCTCTCTTCCAAACACAGCTGGATGAAAGAGCTTCATTTTTAGAAAGTAAACGGAATCATAAACACCTTCCTAATGGTGTGATTTGTTCCAGGGTTCTTTTGATACCTAAGAAGGGAAATATTAATCCTCGTGCACAGTACTCTTTCTACGGCATTACAGTGGTGTTCTTCTCTGGCCATCCTTCTATAGCCAGGTGATTTATTGTACTTGCTGCAGAATCGAAAACATGAAGATGTCTACTTCATAATCAGAATTGGTGATAGGCTCATTTCCTGCCAAATGTATTAGACCACACTTTCAATCCTGGTGGCTGTACATCTTCTTGAACAATACCAGCACGATTTACTGCTTGTTCCTTCTGGTATGTCTCAGCCACATTAGGGGCTGGAAGTAAATGGGGTAAGATCAGGGAGATGAAGCCACTAAAAATGAGCGCCTAGTGCAGGTTCCGGGACATGGTGCCGCTCTGCCCTGCTGTGTGCCCCGCACTCTCCAAAAATAGTTTTTAAAAAGTTTTAAAACTTTGTAAGGACACCTGAATTTATTAGCATACAACTCCACCTCCATAGACTCTGATTTAGTAAGCCTGGAGTGGAGATCAAGGAATTTTCATTTCTAATAAGTATCCAAGTAATTCTTACACATGTGGTCCCTGGACCAACTATACTTGGTGAAATGCTATATCTACTAGTGGTAAAATCCTCATAAGATACCACATTTTTCTAACATTTGAATATGGCAATCAAATATATTTCCAGTCTATTTATTTCAAATCACTGTTTCTGAATATGAAATGCAATAAACCTAAATATCCTTCAAAGGAAACTGATTAGTATTTAGTATGGCAGCATGGTAAACAAACTTCTTTGACTGAGTTATCTAGGTTAAGTCTAATTTTCAAATTCTTTATGAGTACAAAGAAACACAGCCACTGTTGCAGTACTATTAAATAAGAAAAATCAGTTGCTATGTATTTAGAAGGTAAACAGAAGAGGATAAAAGTATGTCTGACAAATGAGGCTCTTAACTTATAAAAAAACAAAAAGTACCAAAGCTCTGTGATGAGATAAAGTCATACATATCTATATATAAATACAGATACAGGTATCAGAATTATATATGTATCTCAGAATTATATATATATATCTCATCATAGAGCTTTGGTACTTTTTATATATTTATCATACCTATTATATACAATTATAATTTATATCTCTCTATATATAGATATATATGTGTATATGTGTACATATATTATATATCCAATATACTTATAACCTTGAATTAGGCCAAGTTAACATACCTAGTTCAAGAAGCTTCTTCGTGAGCAAAAGTGCCTTATCCATGTCTCCCTGCTGATACACTGCATAGCTCAAATAATCTAGAACAGAGACTTTATCAATGGTAGAAACCTCGCCTTCATCCAACTGCCGTAGTGCTTGTTCCATCCACAGTTCTGTATGGTAATAATCTGCTTCTGTATATGCCACTTTACCCAATTCAAAACAGTCCTCAACTGTTAGAAAAGATTTGTGTTCTACTCCTACAGAAAGAAAATACAGAGAAATTTAGGAATCTTAATACAACTGTATATTTATTTAGGACCATATAGCTTTCAAAGTGAGTTAGCTAGGTTAACTCTCACTTAACTAGCTTAAGCTAGGTTAAGCTATCTCACTTTCATTTGAAGTTTACAACCCTCTGAGGTAGGAAAAGCAGGAATTGTCCTAAGTTTATAAACAGAAGAACAATCTAACAATCTACAAAGCAATGAAACATGGCAATAGCCACACAGCTAACAGGGGACATGGGACCGAGAGACTTAAGAGGACTTCAATCATTAGTCATCTTACCAAAATGAAACATCAATTAAGTTGAAGTATGCAATATTCTAACAGCAGGAATCCCCATATGAGATATATCTCTTATTCCTAACCAAAATCCTGGAAAAGAAATGGATAGGAGAGGAAGAGAAGCAAACCTATCAACTGGTTCCTTCCCTTTCTTTCTGCAACAGCATTAATATAAGTAATTTATGTATTATGAAGTTCACACATTTAAAGAATACAATAGTTTTTAATATATTCAGAGAGTTGTGCAACCATCACCACAATCTAATTTTAGAACATTTTCATCACCCCAAAAAGAAACCATGTAACCATTAGCAATCATGACCCTTCCTGCTCAGCCCTAGACAACCATTAATCTAGCTTTCTGTATCCTATAGATTTGCCTATCTATACATAAATTGAACCATACAATATATGGTCTTTTGTGACTGGCTTCTTTCACTCAGCATGTTTTCTTATGTATTATGAAGTTCACACATTTAAAGAATACAATAGTTTTTAATATATTCAGAGAGTTGTGCAACCATCACCACAATCTAATTTTAGAACATTTTCATCACCCCAAAAAGAAACCATGTAACCATTAGCAATCATGACCCTTCCTGCTCAGCCCTAGACAACCATTAATCTAGCTTTCTGTATCCTATAGATTTGCCTATCTATACATAAATTGAACCATACAATATATGGTCTTTTGTGACTGGCTTCTTTCACTCAGCATGTTTTCAAGTTTCATCCATGGTCTAGTATCCTTTTTTATTGCCAAATAATAGTCCACTATATGGATAGACTACATTTTGTTTATCAGTTAATGGACATTTGAGCTGCTTCCCCCCCTATGTTTATTGCCACATTATTTACAATAGCCAAGACATGGAAGCAAACAAAGTGCCAATCAATAGATAAATGGAAAAAGATGTGGGGCATACACACAACAGAATATTATGCAGTCATAAAAAGAAATCCTGCCATTTGCAACAACATGGATGGACCTAGAGGGTATTATGTTAAGTGAAATAAGTTAGGTGAAGAAAGACAAACACCATATGATTTCACTGACACTTGGTGTCTAAAAACAAAACCAAATGAACAAAATAGCAGTAGACTCATAGACACTGAGAAATGACTACTGGTTACAATGGGGGGAGTGGGGTGACAGCTTTTTTAATGGCAGCTTGCCATTCTATTATAAAAGTAACCAAATATTTGAATCCATCTACAACTTACAAACAATATCAACTCCAATTTTTAAAAAATATAAAGAGGATTAAAATTAGTACATACAACCTCTCGGTCAAAAAAGTAAAAAAGAAATATACATAGGCAACCAAAACACATGCAAAATATTCAGCTCATTAATCATTAAAAAATATGAAATTAACAATATTTTTCTTCACGGTTGTTTTACACAATAGCCTACATTTACTATGTGCCAGGCATCTGTCACTCATTTAATCCTCAAAGCAACGCAACAGAAGAACTAAAGTAGAGAGAGATTAAGTCTTGTGCTCAAGCTCACACAATTAAGAGCCAGAATTAGAATCTACACTATATGACTTCAGAAGTTTGTGCTTCTAATATAGTAACACAAAATGGCAAAATGAATGGGGGAGGGAGAATAAACTGGTAACTTTACTTTTAAGACACTTAGCAAAACAAGACAAGAACAATAATTTTATACCCTATGAATTGATACTATGATTTCCAACTCTTTTCTTTAGTACTAGGGTTAGAAGAAACACCTTCTTATAAAAATTATTTTTGTAGCTGGCCAACTTCTATAGTAAAAACTATAATAAGCTATAATCATGAAAAATAATAGTATTTTTCATTAAGATAATTTTAAATGCCATATAGGAAAGCCAGAAAAATCTAGACAGAAACTGTCATAATACTAAGTTGTTGTTTCCTAAATCTTTATAACTTCTTACCTTTTCAAATATTGTACAATTACCACTACTTTCATAAGAACAAAGAAAAAGACTATAGAAAGAATAAACATAAAAAGTACAACTGAATAATATGAACAAAATGACAGCAACTATATAACACCATCTTTTAAACAGGAAATCAGATGCATTACTTATAGATTTTAAAGGCCTGAGTATTTTATGTTGTTTTTGGTTCATATCCTGTTAAGTAAGTAATAGAGAATTACTTCTGCATCACATATTGGGGAGGAGGGAAGGGAGCTTCTGATACTTTAATGCCTAGAAATATAAGATAAAATGTAATAAAATAATAATCCATTTATACTATAGCCAAGTTCACAGGAATTAAACCAATTTCTTGGGTCCAAAACCAAAAATGAACTTGAAACCCAGAGAGGTAAGCAGAGAACAAAGATGTGTCTACCCTGGAGGCAGTCTCCATATCAGAAGCCTTGAAGCTTGATTTTTAACCAAAAAGAAAGGGACAGGAGATAAAACCTCAGGCCCATGCAAAACAAATTGGCAAGTTAGTCATACCCCACTTAAGGCAGATCTTTGAATAATTACCTCTTCAATAAAGCATGAACTAGAAAAAAAAGAAAAAAACTGTTGGCTGGCAAAGAGAAACAACAAAAGCAGTTTTTCTCAATCTGCCCTGTAGGTAGAGGGGAAAAAATCCCTGAGATTCTACAGGCATGCCCTCAGAACTCAAATTTATGCTATCTCCATGGTTCTGGGAAACTAAAGTCAAGAAATTTAACTTAAAATAGTTGTAGGCTGATAATGTCTAGAACATCTGGCAGAAGCAACATTTACTCTCTACAAAATGCACCTTCATCTCAGGTTTTGTAATACTTCCACACACAATGCACATGACCCAAAATTACAAAGCACATGATGAAACAGGCCACTATGAGCACAACCAGAAGAAACTGAAAAAAACAGTATTAGATATCCCCCAAGGTCTTCAGATATTGGCGTTACCAGATTAAACATGGAAAGCTATGATTAAAATGTTTAAAGAAATTTTTTAAAATAGTTAATCTGAACACAGACCTAAGAAAGATGAGGCAGATTTGAGTGGTAAAAAAATAAAACTTCCAGAAATGATAAATATAATCAATTAGAAAAATATATTGGATAGATTAAACAGCAAGTTAGATACAACAAAAGAAGAGAACAATAAACCTAGAAGAGATAACTAAACAAATTACCATGGGATAAACTACCCATAATATAGTAGAGAGAAGGGATAAATATGAAGTGCTAGTTAAAAGACAAGAAAGAAAAAATAAGAATGTCCAATCATGTCTACTTAGAATTCCAGAATAAGACAACAGAATGTGGCACAGAAATAATGCTGGACAATTTGCCTGGTAAAACACATGGAACTTCAGATACACGAAGCAAAAAGAGTTCCAAGCCAAACAAAGGACATGAAAGAACTTCTAAAGGATATGTTTCAAGGAGGAAGAAAATAATTCCAAATGGAAAGTCTGAAGGACATGCAAGAATGATAAAGAATTTGGTATAGCTATGAATCTATAATCTAATTTAAATAAAAATGAACTATTAAATTAGCAAAAATCTCAAAGTTTGACAACATTTTTTGGTGATGCTGTTGGGAAACAGGCACTCATATATTGCTGGTGGAAAAACAAAATGATACAACCACTGTGGAGGGAAATTTGTACAATATTAATAAAATTACACTTGTATTAACTCTGACTCAGTGGCATCACTTCTAGAAAAAGTACCCCAACAATTACTTAGCAAAAGTACAAAATAACCTATGTACAAGGATACTGGCAGCATTATTTCTATAACAGCAAAAGACTGCAAACTGGATGCCCATCAATAAAGGCCTCTTATGGAAGACAGGCATGTTCCGCTGGTCCCTCTGAGACCCACACAGAGGCAGCAGTTTGAAAGATTTACCAGCAGCAGGAAGTGTGCCAGAGAGGCAGGGGTCGGAGGGAACTCTCTCTGGAAGAGAAAGGGCATGTGGTCAACCTTCCGCAGCCCTCCCTCAGGCCAACTAGTTGGGTGCTCTGGGAAGCCAGATCCAAATGCTCCATTCTCCTTGCTAGCAGCTCAACCCAGCAGCATGCCTCCTTGCACACCCAACCCACCCAGCCCGCTTGGCCCAGCAGCAGACCAACTTTGCTGCCTGGCAGTTAGAGAGAGGTTTTCCCAGCTTTCACGGCCCTCTCTCAGCCCAACTGGTGGGGCACTTGGAGAAGTCAGCTCTAAACTCTCCATCCCCCTCACTGGCAGTTCAGCTCTACACAACAGCACTCCCCAGCACACCTGCCCAGACTGGCCTGCCCAGCAGTGGTTGCCATTGCTGACCAGCAAGCAAAGGGCAGCCCTGCCCACAATGAATCTCAGCAGAACTGCCTCTCAGCACACAAATGAAACACAGAGGCAAGCTTTCAGCCTCTGCTGACAGAGATCAGCCACTGCTGGCAGACAGGCAGAAAGGCAGCCCTGCCCACAGCCCACCAACAGCAACTGAAACTAGACTGCAAAGGAGAACCAGGCACAGGTGAGCAAAGAGTCTTGAGCTTCTGGGCACCACAGGACACCCACTTCATAAAGCCATTACCTTCTAGACTAGGATTATCTAACACAAAGGAAGAAACCCAGAAACCCAGACAAAATGAGGAGGCAAAGGACTATGTTTCAAATAAAAGAATAAGGTAAGACACCAGAAAGAGGGCTAAGTTAAATGGGAATCACCAATCTTGATAAAGATTTCA